CCCCAAAACCCCAAAACCCCAAAACCCCAAAACCCCAAAACCCCAAAACCCCAAAACCCCAGCACTCTTTTGATTAGCTGAATTTTTCCTAATCAGTGATCTTATGTTATAATTTTATAAAACTTTAAGGTAAGAATGGCTGAACAGACTAATCATTCAGAGTCATAATATTGGTAGACTCTCTAGACCTGAGCTGAATGTTGAAGAGAGTTGAATTGGTAGAATAGAGATTCTGCATTAGAGGAAATTATATATAGCACCCAGAACCTGCTAAAAATTAAGTCCTCCATGTTATTTATCAAAAAAGAGCATTCTGGATAAATAAATTATGGCATTTAAACTAAACAAGGTAAGTTTGATAGATGTAACTTATTTAGGTCTTCTTAAATTTAGTTATTTAATCCAATGATGATAATTATTCAGACGCCACAAATCAGTAAATTATCCAAATTGAACTCAATCTTACTTCTGATTGGTCAGTTCAAAATAAAAATTGAGCGATCAGGCCCTAATAAAGATTTTTATTTCATAATTTCTTATACTATATCATCCTAGAAATTGGTATTTTCAGACAATCGAAAAGGAGAGTTATGTTTCGCATTAAACAAGACTATCCTTACCAATAAATATAGCAAGATTTTGAATTTTACAGAAAGTAGAGACTAAGGAATGATTAACACCGAACCCGCCGACCTTATGAGTCAAAGTGACCAGATACATCAACAGTTTTGCCAACTCCCCTTGACCACTGAGATTATCTTGCAACAAGATCCTCCTTGTGAGGAAGGGGAAGAGCTTGACCTGCAAATACATTCCCAGTTTTAGTAAATTGCAACTTCAGTGAGATTCAGATAATGAAATCGACACCCTTGGAAATACCAGTGATCAAGAGCTTTCAGACAATGAAATCCTTATGAGAGCTCCCAAACTCAGAGCACTGAGCCTGTAAGTACCATTAGCAATTAGCTAACATTGGTGAGGCACAGTACATCTTGAATAATTTTCTACAGTGATAGCAATGATAGTATCCAAGGTTTTATGCTTCCCACTGCAGCTTTGAATACAATGGATATGGATGGAAATATGCCAAATTTTGGGACTTCCAACAACCAAGTTTCTTTGGATACCCAAAGCAGTCAACTTCAGAGGTAAATTTTCCCTGTTCACCTAATATCCAATCTTCACAAATTTCAGATCATACCTTTGTCACGACAATTAATGAATCAAGGAATTTTTCTTGAAAATTCACTAAAAATCTGTTAATTAAGTTTAGTGGTTTTCAACTTCAAGATGGCAGTTGTCAAAGCTTGCAGTTACAAAGAAATGTTCAATCTGATTTTCAATTCCAAAACAATGAAGAAATAGGAGTTCAGCAAGATCTGCAGGATTTAGGTGAAGAAGAATTGATTTTATCAGATAACCAAGATAAACCCTCCTCTCAATGTCAGGCTTCTAAGTTTATTTTAGGTGCCTCCAAAGTGCAAGAAAACCCAGATGGGGTTTCCATGCAATCCGGCTACAAACCTCAAACTATTTTAGGTTTCCTGTCCTCCCAAGTGTCAACAAGGTTGACTTAAGGTAGAATAGATTTAGCCAACCCTGTGCTGGAGCTAGACCTCTAGCCCCTCTGCACACCCTTCATATTACTCTTTTACAAGTTCAATAGCCATTTCTCTTTCCTTCTATAGATTATAGGCTTTGTCGTTCAATTATTTAGCGAATCTCAGGGGTTTTGGGGTTTTGGGGTTTTGGGGTTTTGGGGTTTTGGGG